GTGAAATATATTTATGTTTGTGGTTGTAATGTGACAAAATATGGAAAAGTTCAAGGGGTATGAATACTTTTGCAAACCACTGTATTGTAGAGTTTTTAATGTTTTTTTTTAATCTGCTGCCAGATTTGAAATTGGAGTGCCATGTCCCTACAAATGTAAGGCATCTCAGGCCCAGTTTGTGTTTTTTGACTGATGCTCAGAGCAGACAGTTGGGTGTAGTTTATTTAATTTTATTTCTATGGTTCTGTCAAAATTAAACACAGCTATTTTTAATTACTTTGGATTCTAAGCCGAAATCAACATAGCATGCACTTTAAGATCAAGAAGTCACTTTTTAATAAAATATAAACCAGTCAAAGAAGAAAATAAGTGTTTGCATGTTAAAACCACTTGTTTAGTTAAAAAATTAACACATTTGTGTCTGCAGCACTGCACTGTACAAGGTTGTTTTTAACTTTATGTGTAGAAATATGCACGTTAATGTGCTGTCTGTGGTCAGACAAAGAGGATGGTGGTTAATAAAGGCCAGTTGTTGTGCCTTGGCTGTGGCTCCACACAAGAGTTTGTGGGTCAGTTTGATGTGTGTTACTCAGCTCTCTGTTTCTGTCCTCAGATCTTCTCACAGAAGCAATGAAGACCACAGAGTGTGAACAGGTGGGGAAACGTCTTCATTCTGTTAAGATTTACTCAGCCAACCAGAGTCTTCATCTGGATTATATATTAAAATGTGTAATTTATTAATATAAGCTACAAGCTTTGAGTTACTAACTGAGAAACCAAAGATACTGAGGTTTTATTGATACAAGTAGAAACCAGATGTTGACATACTGGAGAAAAACACAACTTTTTTCCAAAAAAATAAATCAGAGTCAGAGAAAGAAAGATAAGAGATTTGCCAGCGGTGCCAGCCCAAGGTTAAAATTCTATGGCTGTTCACAACAGGATGATAACCTTTCTTCAGCTTTCTTCTGATAGACTCTAAGAGAAATCACTGCAAAACATTTATGATGATTAATTAACATTTCTGTTTTATCATCAGTTCTGAACCTTCTGTTAGTCCAGATAAATGAAAAATTTTCTCAGGAAAAATCCACAATTATATTACTGTGTTCACAGTAAAATAAAAACAGTGATTTACATAAAAACACAATGAAAACATTGTAATGAGATTCTCTGTGATTTTTTTATACGATAAGGCACGATAAAAGAAAAGAAGTGGTTCCCCTTTTCCTGTGACAGTCATTATCATGATTTAACAAATGCATAAACATTCTTAGTTAAACAACAAATGAATCACGAACAGAAGAGATTGTTCTGTCCATTATCTGATTAAGAGAACTGAGGAGTTCTCTTCCACGGTTAGAATGACCTGTCATGGCCTAAATAGAGTTCAGTTTATGACAGAGATCCTGTCCTCTCGTCAGGCCTGTCTGAGGCCTGCTTCGAGGCAGTAAATCTTGTTTCTTCACTCAAGGTGACCCCTACATCATTTTGTAACTTATTTCTTTAGATTTTCCCAGGATGCCACACAAAGAAGTAGAGTGTTTGATGTGTACCCTAAAATGAACCCACAGGTGTTCCTTAGGGTCGGGCAGTATTGATCATTTTCATAGCCTGGTGTAGCCTGTAGAAAATACCACAGTACACAGTGTACTACATTGTTTTATTTTATTTTTTTTACACCACACTAAGAGGTGTGGCAGACAAGGGCGCCTCTGTGTG